ACAGACACAGAGCGAGCAGCGACAGTCCTGTCATTCACAGCTTTCACTCAATATTTTTGACAACTTATGGCAGGTAGTTCTGTGCCCTGGGAGCATGGTCCTACACATTGTAGGCAATTTATCAGTGCTGCTGATTTCTTCCTGCCAGATTCCAGTAAATTCCTCCACCAAACTATGATGACCTGAACTGTGTTAGACTTTACCAGATAACTTGTGGGGCATGTGTAGAAAAGGAAATAAGAGGGGAAAAGGAAGGGAGCAGAGAAGGAAAGCATGGGAAGAGAAGGAGGGATGCACCTGAGCTGCATAATGAGATACTACTTCAAGAAAAAAATTGAATACATAAATAAATATATACACGTATATTTAGTTAGAATTCAACTTGCTATATCTTAAAATCACTGGGTGGAAAGATGGCAAAAATATTATAAATATATATGTCTAAGCCAGAATTTCATACATCTCTGGCATAGTTGTCTTTGCCCTATCCCAAGCAGTTGGATATGCCATCATTCCCAGATTCATGTTATTCTGGGGACTGCACACAAGAATCATATACCACTAGGGAACACTCTGCCAACTGAGTTTCGTTCCCAGCTCCCAGTAATGATTAGGTGACTGTGAACTGCAGGCTGGGGGGCTTGGAGTTGAGAGACAGCTTGGCTGTCAGGAGCTCTGCAGCTGTTACCTCCAGGGGTTCCCAGGACGGTCATTCTGGGCTGCTTCACCCTGTAATCTCCTGCCATGCAGATCATCCCCTTCAGTTCCTGACCTTGTGGCTGGCCAAGAGTGACAGGTGTCACGGTCTACATCTGGGGTTAGACTGAGGCCAGCATCTTCCAGCAGCATCCACAACAGCTCAAATCATGGCTACCCAAGCTTTAATCAAGGCATCAGTCACCATTCCAGCTAAAAATAGTGTGATACTCTGATTTTTATCTGACTGTTGGTTTACAAATTGTTCCCTCAAGACCTCGTAATGACAATGGGGCACGAAGACAGAAGTTCTGCCAAGCTGTATCACTAAGCTAATGTCCTCATTGTGTAGTTGAACCCTTTCCAGGCCCTTGAACCTCCATCCTCTCATGCCATCATCTGTATAGCCAGAACTAGCAGGACTCTCAGTGATTAATGTACTCGGGCATGCCGTCCCAGGTTTGAATAATTAGAAAAACTGTGATATTTTAACAATGTAAATTCAAGATTTTCTAATCCTAATGTTCCAACACTCATTTTCCTCTCTCATTATTATAATCATTGCAGAAAAATCAGGGTTAATCTTCCTTGAGGTAGAGAGGGCATAGGAGTTTAAATACTGTGACTGTTTCCTTTGGTCTCATAAAACAATGACTACTTCATTCTCTCCTCTTTTGTAGTCCAGATTTTCTTCAAAGGTTCTGATGGATGTCTGTCCAACTCCTGATATTTGTTACAGTTTAAAACTGGCAAGGAGAAACACAGCACCAATGTTATAATTTAAAAACTGTGTGTGAGAGACACTGTGTGACAAAGCTCACATGAAAGGTCTCATTAGGGGACGGGAATGGGGAAAGGGACAAGTGGAAAGGCACAAAGGCCTGCCTGCTTCTTTGGAAGAGTGTCAAGAAAGAGGAACTTGCTAGCTAGAAGAGCTAGCAGTTAAAGAGGGCTTAGCACATGCGCACAAAGACTACTCAGTAACAATTCATGGACACAGAGTACATAGTGATGTAGCAGTCTAGGACCCTGGGCTGGCCAGGTATCTGCCTGAATGTTGACATTTGTTCACAGGGAATGTTCTTATTGGTTATAGCTGAGGACCCTTGTGGTGCAGGGTAGTATAATGTCTGGAATGCTAGCAAGCACATTCATAGGGAGTGGCTGTGGTTGGTGACATAGGTCCATAATGTCAGGCCAGCAGCATGCCTGAATGCTAACAATATTACTATGAAATTATGTTTGAAAATCAACAACAAACTTCAATTGTTTTCAGATTTGGGACAAATCAATACTTCTTCAAAGTCAGAGAGCCCATTCCAGGTGCCAATTCCCATGGGCGCCAGTGTCCCTGGTCCCATAAAAAGAAGGCCACTCACTTCACTTTGATTTACCTCAACAGAGACCTGAAAGAGTTGCCCTAACCAAACACTGTGGATCAGAATCACCCTACAAAGATTTCCAAATCATTTAGAGACTGACACCACTCAGCGCAGGAGAACGCCTACTAAGGTCAACTGGCTGGACTGAGGGATTTTGTGTTGCACTTGGAAAGAGAGAAAACTGTGCTAAGCCAACAAACCTGTGGAAGTCAGAAGTCAGTTTGTGGGAATCTGTTCTTGCCTTCTACCATGAGGGTTCCTGAGACTGAACTCAGGCCACCAGGTTTAGAGGCAAGCATCTTTACTCACAGAGGCATCCTGGTGGCCCTAACACTTTAAAGATATTTTGTGATACTTTTTAGATGTAGTAAAATATGTATTCTTGAGTTTTATTCCAATTACAGGGCAACCTATAACTCTAAGCAGAAAATCCTGCATTTTCTACATTGGAGAAAAAATATATACCTAAAGTTTATCCAGAAAAATGTCCGTGTTATAAACAAAGAAACGAAGCTTCCTTTGTTCTTTAGAACAAAGTGTTCTAAATGCATAAGAGAACAACTGTTAGGTTTTAGTCAGTGCATATTTGGAGCAAATGCAAATGGTCTTTGTACAGCTTTAAGTGCTAGTGGCTAATTGTCTTTGAGACATAAACACGTGCTGCAAAGGAGAAAGAGTAGTATTGGTTCCAGGAATCCCCCCCTCAACTAATAATAATTTGATACTCTTTGTAACCATCTTGCCCATCAACTGTGACTGAATAATGAAAGAGAGCCCTCTCTCCCTTGTTTTCTCTGAGATGCTCATGGTCTCATTCCATATGGGTAACAGGCATGTGGATAACAATGAACAGCACCAGAGGATGATGGCCTTTAACGTATTTGGCCAGTTTATGTTTTGATACCTAGAGGAATCTTCAGAGGGGCTGCACAAAGGCCTCTAGGTGTGAAATGGAAGGAAGAAATAAGCTATGAAGTCTTAACACTGAAGCAGAATGTAGCCTTCAGAACATGTTCAGGTGCAAGTGTGACCACTGAGCAGCTCCGACTCCAGTGCAACACTAAGATGCTGACCACTGCAGGGCATAGTCTTCTTTTCCTCACCCCTAGCCCCACTGAAAATGCCCCTGAGAGGAAGGACTATGGCAACAATGCATGTGACCTCATCGATAATCACGCAGCTCCCGAGCATAGACATCTAATTGTCTACCACTTCATGGAGTCTCATTGTAAAATGCAAGAAGCCTAATTATTTCAATATCAGTATGCCCATTATCAATCCTGTTTCAATAGTGAGTAGAGCAAGAAAACTATTCTAGACTTTATTAACATAAAATGATATCAATATCACTGTTATCAATGAACCTAAGAGGAGAGCAAATTGTTGGAAACTGTGAAACATGTATCAATAAAATTAACACATGGAACAGATTTCAAATATGTAAAGGAAATATAGAAAGATATTAAGAGAATGAAAATAGAAATATATCTGAATAATACTGAATAAGCATTGTAATGGAAATCGAAGGAAAAAATTTTCTCACAGTCCTGTGTGCTGACATTTGAATGAACGTCAGCCTCCAATTCCTCTTCTTCTAAGTGACCCTGCTATCAAGCTCTATCTCTGCTCTTCCAACACACTAACAGGTGCAACACGTGCAGCTTATAGACAAGAGAACAGCTAATATTGAAGAGTGAAGAATGGACATCAGGACATTTCACATCCAGTGAATCAGGGCTGTGCACGCAGATACTGTGCCTAGACTCCCAGTGACAGGACCATGCATTCTAAGGAAGAGAAAGTTCACCTAACCCATTAAAAATGGGGACAGCCACTGTACTGTCTATGACAAAATTTAAAAAAAAATGTTTTTCAAGGCAGAGAACTGATATCTTCAATTGCTCATAAAAAGTAGAAGACATACCATGCCTGAAAACAGCATACAAAGTATATTCAAAAGTAATTGTGCTAAACATGTTAAATGTAAAATATAAATCTCTCTACTGGCTACACAGAAAATTTTCAATGAGAGCTGCATGGATTCCACAAAGATATGGATAAGTTGTCTAAGGTGGATAAGTGTCTCTGCTGGCTGTGATATCAATACTATCTCATTTACATCAGCAGCTTCAATCTTTCTGCTTACTGTCAGTCATGTTATAAAACCCCAGGTAGTGAACACAGTCCAATTACTGGAGAACATGAAACCAGGAGGATAACAGATTTGTTAGTCTTAAGCATGTATATTACTCCGTTGGCGGAGGCTGGAAGTATATCTTGAAAGCAGAGTCCTTACCTAGTATATAAGAGATCCTGGTTTTGACCACAGCGCAGCAATAAAAAGTATGCAAGAGATATTTCCTAAACAAAGTTAGGAGCAATCTGACTGTTTTCCATAGGGATATCATCTTTCCTTTGCCAAATGAAAATTGATTGTATGCTATTTTTTTTGACTAATGGAAAATATAATACAAAAATCATACCAGTAAATATGTTTCCTTGTGGTAGAGATCATACATGAAAAATGAACAATGCAATAAATAGAAATGAGGATTGTCTCAAGCAAGATTTCCCAGAATTCAGTACTGCTGAGAGTCCCCAATGACCCTGCCCTCTCCCAGTGGAGAGGCTGCTTTCTGCTGTCTCAGTTTAGCCTTGCATTTCAGTTTTTGATTTCTCCTTTCATTCTACATTACCTTGACAATATTGCTGAGCAGATCATGAGCAATTCGAAAACTGTATTCAATAACAAGTTTACCCGCTAGGAATACATGCTCACCATGTGACGCAGACATAGTCTCCGGTGTTTCCTTACAGTAGATCGTATTTTTGGTAAATAAGCATAAACATAATTATAAATATCTTTCAGACTGTAGTAGCCAATCATGGCAGTCTCTATGTTAGAAAAACTTAGCACTTTACCTCACTTTCAAGTTCCCTTGTTGGGGCTGCCCATCGTACACCGATAAGATGTCGAAATCCTCCTCGAGGGCGAAGGTGTGGAAGGACAGCTGTATCCTGTTCCGCTCCCCGGTGATGATGATCCAGGTGCAGTTGGCATAGTTAGGGTAACCATGAGGAAAGCCGGGGCTCTCGATGGTGCCATTGGGTCCCTGGACCAGGCCACCACAGTTCTGACCTGTGTAGGTAGGAAAAAGAAAAAGTAGTGTGTTAGCATGTTATTAATCATCAACCTATAGTTGTAAGAATATCCCTGTCATTCTCACAAAACTTGAATGATATATTATGGTGTTTTCTAGATGAATATTAAACACTAATTTTGATCACAGGTCAAGGATAACATAAGAATAACAGAAGATGAAATGGATGAGAATTATAGAACCACATTTGGGAACTCACACCAGATATTCAGCTTCAATTTTGGACTACAGAGGAACACATTTTCTACCAATGATCTGCAGAGAATGCTGAAATCCCTTTATCCATCAAAGGGATTAGATGGACAAAGACTTTGAGTATAGATAAAACCAGCATTCTTAATGTTACTGTAATGCACTCGGGTTCCAAACAGCTAAATGACATTGGTATGTGGTAGCAGTGTTAGGAAGCGCCATGGTTAACCTTGCCAGAATGGACATGAGCCTGTTCTGTGTTAACAAAAGTGTTTTAAAGAGAAGGATGCAAGACTGTAGAATTTATATGCTTGAAAATAGAGGGCATGAACCAAGCTTGTTTAGGATGAAAATAGTGGCAAAGTACAGGAATAAACACCAGGATATTCCCCACCAATAGTATACTCCTTATAGAGGTGGACATCCTGCATGGAGGAAGGAACATACCGTATCCGAGTGGGAGAGTTACTAAAGAACATCTTTGGAAATGTAGCGGTGCAGAGAACACCCATACCTCCCCAGGTAGATCAGACACCATCCTGTTTCATAAATCCTGCTTTCAATATCCTTCCCAGGGAAGACAGAGATGACAATGTCATTCAAGAGGGATTTGATGATGAGAAAATGTTTGGTGTCATGCACTTCCCCCTAAACAAGACTAGGAAGAGGGGTAAGAGCAGGAGAGGCACTGAAGGACTGTTTGCCCTTTGCCTCTGTTTCCCATAGTGTTTGTGTGGGTTTGTACATGTTGCTGATTCTACCTCAGGGACTCTCTTGATATGTTCATATCCCTGACCTAGTTCCACGCACCAATCCTGACTTCAATGAACTGCAGTCAGCCTTTCTTTGAGGACCCAGCTACTAGAAAGATCTTCCCCGGAAGATTAGTAGCAGCTTCATGTGGAGTCCTCTGATCCCCTTTCTCATTATACATCCGGAAGTCCCTTTCTTTCCATTCCCAACCTAATATCTCTCCCTGCTGCTCTGGTCATTTCTTCCTCATCTTGGCTCAGAGATCTCCTGTTGAGATCCCCCCTCCACGTCTCCCCCTACATCGCTGCTTCACCTTGACATGCCTTCAGTGAAAACTTCCCTAGTCCTCCTATGACTGTAGTTTTTCCTCTGCCCATTTACCTTGAAAAATCCACCCAATTAAGAAACCTAAAAGCCAGATGAATCAGTGGAAAAGGGTGGCCACTAGTGTGTGGCAAGGCCAACTTCTCTCTCTGGTCCTCTGATCTGGGTCCCAATGTAGAAGGATATAAAATACTCCTTTTTTAATTAATTTCTGCATCTAATTGGTTTGGAGACAGCCATGGGGATGATTTCTAGATTCTCTGCAGCCTTTGCTTCCATCTCAATTGGACCATTTCCCAACAACATGTTGTGCATCCTTAAATGTTTCCACACTAGGAGTGTGGTGGAAGTTTCCAAGAAACCTGGGTTGCTCTGATTACTCCATGTTGTGTAAGTATTTGAATACAAGTATTATCCCAGCTTTCTTTGTTGTACTGCAAACAGTGAATTATTTCCAACTACATTGTAGACTTACAAATCACCATAGTAGGTCTCAGTGAGCTCAAATCTTTCATGGTAATATTATCAAATGATTGTAGGAGCTTGCTCAATCCTAAAAAAAAAGATTTAATGAAAGGGATTTATGAGTTTAAAACCAAAGAACTAATAAGAAGCCCATTTTCCACTAAATTTAAATCTAACAAAACTGTAACAAGTGGATATTAAAACTGTGGGGATTTGAAAGGGCTTTAAAGGAAACAGCTTTTCTGGTTTATCTGACAATTCTTACTTCATGGAAAATCAGAAAAAGTGAAGACTTGATTATAAATTGGAGAAAAGGAAAAAAAAAAGAAATTTAACAGAAATGTCAGCAGGAACGTAGTCACTGTTAGACACCCACCATGTTGCACCAGGTTACCAGACATAAAGATTTCCTAGGAAAGAACATTCAGTCTGCCTTCAGGGTACCAATTAGTATGATGCATTTTGCAGGGTGAGCTGTGTTTGATCAGTAGACAGACCTTTCCACGGGCTCTGTCAGAAACTTCAAGGACAACTCAAGAGTTCTCAACAGAGAGACGATCATCCCTGCTATACTTTGTAATCAACTGAGAGGTTTTCAAAGTCCCCATTCATTCCAAAAATGGACTGTAGTTTAGTGGTGCAAGCTAAGACTATCCAGGGAGATCTTGGGAAAGAAACCTGGAGAACACATACTCTGCACTATTATGTATGATTGGAATATTGCCGTCGTTAAAATGGGATTTGATTGATCGCAGTTAAGAAAAGGTGCCAGCATAACAGCAGGAAAAAAATCTCAACACCCTCCCTATTATAAATTCTAGACTTAAAATAAAGTCATTGCTTTGCACTGGCAACAGGATGGACTTGTCAGAGCTGGTAAGGAGATGGGATTGTCAACTAGACATCCAACTGGGAAAAATGAACAATGACTCCAGTCCCACAAGATATACAAGCTCAATCCCAGATGAATTGGGGGCCTACACATCAAATAATAATGTTTCCAAAAGGCAGCAATGTAAAAATAAATCTCCATAACTCTATGCATTGTATAATATGAAGTACAAAAACTAACCATCATAAAAATGACTGGAAAAGATATCCAGAAGAGGAAGATATTTGCAGTCCATATTTGTAACGGTTGCTATATGAAGAAAATCGCAAATGGAACACATTCACAGATTAGTAAGAACAGGGCAATGGTATAGACACACAAGCCATCTCTAGATCGTGCTTCCTAAGGACAGAGACAGTGTGAGCTGCCTCTTGCTCCTTCCTTCCTACCATTCCCGACATGGTAGAATGTATCTCTACAAACAATGAGACAAAATAAGCCCTCCCTCCCTCCCTCCCTCCCTTCTATATGTTGTTCTTATATAGCCATCCTTGCTCCCTTACACACATTGCTCCTGTAAGCCATCCCCCTCCCTCATTGCTTCAGTCAGGTATGGTCTATTGGGAAAGAAAGAAACACAGAACATTGGTGCTGAGGACAGGGAACTTCTTGACATAACACTGAGAATGTGTGCTGTAGGGCTTGGGTGCTGGTTTATTGATTAATGTAGAAACATTTGGAGCTCTAGATTAGAGAAATCCTCAATTACAGAAAAAGAGAGCTCAGCCGCCATTGAAGTGCTAGTTCATAACGCCACAGTGCAGATAGAGTAGAAGACAGGCTTATATTGTTTCTAGGCATGGGGCATATGAGGGCTAGGGGAAGAGGGGTTCTGCCAGGAACTGGCTTAGAGGCCATTTGTGTTCTGTTTTTTTAGACAATCTGGCTGTATTCTGCATGTTCTCAGAACCTGAGACTGAATTATAAAGTAGCATAATAATTCATGTTACAAAAATTATTTCAAGGTATTGCAGCATTCAGGTTGTTGAACGGTTACCGCTCTTTGCTCTTGGTCAAGTTTCAAATAAGACAGAGCGGTGAGTGGAACAGAAAAGTCAGAACCTGTTCAATTTGGTGGAAAGCGGTATGAGTGAGTCTAAAGCTGAGGGTGCAGAAAAAGTGCCTGTCATGAAACCAACAGGGAAGCTCAGACTTCACATGAGGATGATTGGAAGAGTGCTTTGAGGAACCGTCATGGGTTCAGTTAGTAAAAATGCCAGTCTATTTTGAAGGAGAGTCTGGACTGAGATTATCACCAAACTGGTTCCCCTCTCAAAACAGCCACTGATGGAAACAGTTCTCTAGATTCAGACACCATAGGTCTCCACAGGCCCCCCACAGGCCTCCACAGGCTGCCATAAGCCCCCACAAGCTTCCCTCAGGTCCCCACATGCCTCCATAGGCTGTCACAAGCCCTCACAGGCCCCACACACCATTAAAGCTGTGGTACAGGTGGGGCAGGATACTTCTTGAGTATGATACTAGGCACACAAAATGAATGAATGATAGGGTCATGGAGGCTTGAATGATGGCTCCAGAAAGCTCCAGAGGCTGAGCTGTAAATGGCAGAGTTGGATTCCTTGCAAAGTACTGAGAAGGTATTATATGAAGTAGCAAAGATGACTCATAAGTCAGGAATAAAATGTACTGATTGTCCCAATACCTAAGGTAATGAGTGCTGTCACATGACTATGGGACTGTCCTTCCTAGCATCCTGGTGCCCAAACCACAGGAGGGAGATGAACTTGTTTCTGAAGAATTTGTCATCCTGTGAAACCCGCTGAGCCAGTGATGCGGTAAGTGAGGCTGTGATGCCCCTGCATCAGGACAGTGTCTGAGGCTGGTTCCTGGGCTTTGGGGTCCGAGAAGAGCAAGCCAGACCTGCGAAGTCAGGAGCCCGCTGTCAGAACTGGAATCTGCACTGCGTACTCCATTTGACCATGTCTAGGCAGCTTCCATGCTAGAAGGCAGAGAAACCCTTCTGGTGAGAGATAAAACTCAGTGGGTCCTAGAACAACTCCCTGTTTTGAAAGCCATCAGCAGACTAAAGAGAGCTGCGGCACCATCATGCTGAGATGCCCAGGCCTCTGCTTGGAATGCAGTGGCATTTGGTCTGTTCCTCTCTGGAACCCTTGTCTCTGATTTTCAGAGTGTAATAATGCACACCTTTCTTTTCCCAGCATTAGGAATTTGCAGTAGTGACTCATCTATAATGTATTCTGGCTCTCTTTAGCTTTTGTTGAATGAAAGGAAGTCCACAGGCATGAAGGCTCCCTTGGGTGCCAGGTGTAGCTCTGCTAGCTCATTTCTGTGTCTGGTTCCCAATCTTACAGAGGGGAAAGGTGAAAACAGTGTTTCAGTATTCCTAAGTCAGAACCTGAAGGTTCTGTCTGATTTAATTGTCTCATAAACTTTGAAGTCGGAAACAGGGCAGCCTTTGATTTGTGAATTATATTCACTTTTATTTGGATAATGTTTTATGATAAGAAGATCTGCTATGTAAAGCCCTCCTTTGAGAGTAGATATCTGACCAACAAGTATCCGCTAATATAGAATGTAGTCGAGCAATTGCAGAAAGACATAGTTCACAATGGTTAGCATTTAAAAAGCGGCAGGAAATGTCACCCCATGTTGAATGCTACTACACGTGTGAAAAGGTATGAACAGAGCCATCAAGAACAACCAGGACATAACAGACTAGGTAGATATGTGACTGACTGAACCTGGAGTTCATATGAATGAAGCACAATGAGGCACAGAACTGAAGGAGATGGCCGGTAATAATCACCAACAAGTGTTTGTGTTTGAGACACGCCTGGGTTATCATACAGGGTATATTTAAACCGGCAGTTCAAGAGGAAGGGAGATCACAAACATCTATTACTCTCAAAGCTATTCCATTCATTGTAGAACCCATTCTGTAAAAATTTTAATGTATATTTTTCACATCCTATATAAACTGAAATGCACATGGGAACTTATTCATTTTCTTTCACTCACACATTGACCTCCAGAGTTTGTGTGTGTGTGTGTGTGTGTGTGTGTGTGAGAGAGAGAGAGAGAGAGAGAGAGAGAGAGAGAGAGAGAGAGTAGTAGTGGCAGTAGTAGTAGCCAGTCTGCTCCATATACCTGTGGTCTGAATGTAAGACCACAACTGCCCACTGTCATTCCAGTACAGCTCAATGGTCCAGAAAATATATTTAATAAAATTATAGAAGAAAACTTTCCCAACATAAAAAAGATATTCCTTTGAATATTCAAGAAGCATACAGAACACCAAATAGACTGGATTAAAAAAAAATCCCCTCGCCATATAATAATCAAAACACAAAACATACAGATTAAAGAAATAATATTAAACTGTGCAAATGAACCACCAAGTCAAATGGGGCCAAAGATTGCCATGTGGGCAAATAACATGGTGAAAGGCAAGCTGAGGCGAGGCTTTCTTTAGCAAATGAGAGCATTCAAAATGGATCTGTGCAGGGAAGTCACACTCATGTCCATGGCAGGACATGTTCTCATAAAAGACCTAGCTAGTCTGTGTTATCTTGTTGCATTCTCTGTGTCCTAGAAGACAGAAGTGAAATCTCAGGTAGGATAAGAAACAGCAGCCACTGCAGGAAGGAGCAAGCAGCCCCGGAGTGCATCAGTCTGCACATGGGGAGCAGTCTGCCCTCTTTTTCCTTATTCCTCCTTCCTCTTCTGTCCCCTCACCTCCTCTTATTGCTCTTTTACTCCATAGTTAGTATTGCTATTATTTTCTTTCTGTCCTACCTCTCCCTTCTCCCATCTCTTGTCTGGTTTTCCTTCTCTCCTTCCTTCTCTCTCACTTTAGCTTTAGACAGCTGATCATCAAAAGAAACCTCGATTGAAGCTCTGACTAAACGTAAGCTTAAGAAACTGCCCAGAGAACATGTACTGCAGAAAAGAACCCTAAAACAACAACAACATTAAAGAAAACCTCTAAGAAAAGGCTTTGAAAATTAATTCAACTATTAGGAAATAGCCAGGGAACAAGCCCAAAAGAGGTGTAAAAACTCATTTCCAGAGAACCCACATTAGAACATTAAGCCTCCACCATTTTCACAAAAATATATGAAGCTTTTACAGGTAAAAGAGAATATG